AGGGTAATTGAGGAATAAGGAGTTGTACCAGATGGTCCAGGATGAGTAAGTGACCACAATAATGAATATGTGCTCTATAGAAAAGGAGAGATCTGAGAAAGCATGTTTCAGAAAAACTGGGCCAGAAATCAGATCTAAGTATTAGAGAGGAAAAGAGGGAATTTGCTAAGACAGCTCAGGATCTACTGCTGTAACCTAGATACAAGAAAATTGAGCCTGACCAGTGACAAAGAAAATGGAAAAGAAATTCTCCCTCTAAAGTGTCCTGGTTCACACATTAGTCTTTAGTGCAAATTAGTATGGATAATGTGAGCCTGTCCCAGAAAGATACTTACTCCCTTCAAGACTGCAAAACCTGAAGTCCAGCACTTCTATGGAAATTATGTGAGAATTTTTCCAAAGGAAGAATCTCTACTCTGTGAGTCTTCCAATAATGTATAGGCTAAGAAGTTAGAAAGAACCTCAGGAATGTTGGTGGGTGTCTAATTGCCTGGCTCATCTGAGAAATACAGCATTTCCCTTCATTCAGGGGCTGTATTCTGGATGGGTTCTTTATAAAGTTGACTTTGTCAGCACCCTCTCAGAGATGCACTCTCCTTCCCAAGCTCAAGTTTAATATTCTGGCCCAAGTCAGGATATTTTGGAGAAAAGAACCAAGACCTCAATAATCACCAAGAAGAGCAGAGGTAATACACAATCCCTGCCATTGGGACACATTCCTGAGCCTGTAGATCTTCTCTGAGCCACACTTGAAGGGGCCTGCTGCTCCTCTTCTCTGTGCTCATTTCTTTATTTTTTTTATTATTATTAGTTGTTCAAAACATCATAAAGCTCTTGACATATCATATTTCATACATTTGATTCAAGTGGATTATGAACTCCCATTTTTACCCCATATACAGATTGCAGAATCACATCGGTTACACATCCACGTTTTTACATACTGCCATACTAGTGTATGTTGTATTCTGCTGCCCTTCCTATCCTCTACTATCCCCCCTCCCC